CCCATGCCCTAGAACTTCAACTGTAGACTGGGGTCTGAGAGAGGCCACAAACCCATCCCCGAGCCGGGTCGGGCAGGAACTGTTCCATCGTCCCATTGCCCGCAGACTGCTAAAGCCAGGAGGGAAAGGTGGGGGAGGGGGGCCAGGGACACCTGTCCCCTAGCTCCGGGGAGGGGGGTGGAGGTGGAGCATGAGGGAGGCAATGGCCTGATTCACAGAGTACACCCTGCCTAGTCTAGACGCTTGGGGACGCCTGGGTCCTGTGCATTCCTAAGGCAAAGATTCACCTATTTTCTGCAGGGTCTGAAAGGGGCTCTGGGCCACACCACCGCAGTAGGCAGGTGCTGACCACTCTTAGACCAATTCCCCTAATCGCAGTCCCCTGCTTCCCTCCCCCCCCCTCTATATTTATNTCTATATTTATCCGCCCTCCGCCTCCGCCAGGTGCTGGCGCCGGCCCCGGCGGCGCAGCCCGCCCCACCCGGGCACGGAGCCACCGGGCCTGCTGGGGACCCCTGGGCGGGGGATGGGAGCCTGACCCAGGCCACAGTGCTGGGGAGTCTGGTGGCGGGTCTGCCAGGGAATCAGAGGGGATGTCAGGGGATGGAGCTCTCCCACGCCAATAGTGCCTCAGTTTCCTCACGAGGAGATTCGACAAAATCGGGAAGACCAGTGTCCCTCACCATCCCCTCTGAATTCCCCAGGAGGCTCACCAGGGAGGGCCAAGAGCTCTGTCCTGAGGGTAATGACGAGGAGTCCTCCAAGAGTCTTGGTCCCCAGCTCCCTCTCGGTGGGGTCCCCGCCACGCACCCTAACCTGAGGGTGCCTCCTCCCCCTCGCCCGGGTCCCTGGGGTGAGAGCTCCCGCATAGCCCCAGCGCGCCCGACCTGGGCGCAGAGAGGACCCAGGCGCCCGGGCCGCCCAGCCGGCCTCGCCACATTCCTCGGCGGTGGCGGAGGCGGAAGGAGATGGGATGGGACGCGGGCCTGGCAGCGAAGGGAGAGGCTGGGCCAGGTCGGGCCACGCGTGACGCCTCCCTCCCTCGGGCCCCCAGCAGGTGGACAGCACCCAGCGTGAGGCCCACAGGCACATCCGAGCAGGGCGCTCCTAGAGCTCCCGGGACTTCGGCCCCAGGGCGAGACCTCACCCACTCTCCAGCCACCCGAGAGCGCGGTGCTCGGCTGGAGTCTGGAGCGGGAGCCGGCGTGACGGCCGGTAGTAGTGAGAGGGGCTGAGACACCGCTTCAGCCCCCGGGACTTACCCGCCCGCCACCCGGTGGACTTGGGGTCCGCAGCTCAAAGGTCTCGTCGTCCTCGTCGTCGTCGCCGTCCCCGCTAAGCTCGCCGTCCCCGTAATCCCGGTGCAGGAGAGTGAAGCC